CAGCTTTCGGTCAACCACAATGTTGAAGAATGGGGGCGGGGCTGACCATGGCTGACAGCAAGCGGCTTCAGGGGACAGTGGCGTCTGCAAAGCCAAGGGTTGTTTATTTTTTTTGTTTTGAGACAGGGGTTCATGCAGTCCAAGGTGGCCTGGTACTTACTATGTAGCTGAGGATGACCTTGAACTTCTGATCCTCCTGCCTCCACTTCTCAAGTGCTGGGATTACAGGTGTGTGCCATACAGGTATGCACTATTACATCTGGTTTATGTGGCGCTAGGGAGGTGAACACTACCAACTGAGCCACATCCCTACCCCTCTGAAACTGTGTTCCAGATCCATAGAAGGCCGAATGTACCTCCAAAGATGTCCACATCAAAAGCCTTGGAACCTGTGGATATATTGCTTTACACAGCAAAGGGGATTTTACAGATGTTTTAAGGCTACAGACCTTGAGTCATGTAGGTTAAGACTGATTACTCAGTGGGCTCCTAACTTAAAAGCAGAGAAACCTTCCTATTGTGGACAGAAATAAAACATTACTGGATTTGAAAATGCAGAAGGGGCTACAAGCCAAGGAATGTGGTCAACCCTTAGAGAAAAGAGGCAAGGAAATGGACTTCTCTACAACCTTCAGGAAGCTATCCTGTTAATGTCAGTTTAAGGCAGTAAGACTTGTGTACAAGTTCTGACCAACAGAGCTGGAAGGTGAGAACTCTGCTGCTTCATGCCACTGTAGCTAAGAGAATTTGATATAGTGGCCATAAAAAACAAATACAAGGTCACTCAGAGAGAAAAGACAAGGGACAGACCAAGGGTTACCAGCAGTTCGATCAACCAAGGGGAGAAAAAGGGAGTCAGCTCCGTAGGCAGAAAGGGGAGAAGGGTGTAAAGTGGTAAGAGAGCAGAAATCCCCAAAGAAAGGAAAAGGCCCAAGGAGAAATGAGCCAGAGTTGAAAAGCTCACTGGTTAGAAAGGGCAGGGCAGGTGAACAGTCTTTGTATCTTCAAGTGCAGTTTTCCTGCTTCATTTTCCCAGAGCCACTAAAGCATTTGCATATAACAAACAGACTATCTCACTTGAAACTATTTCCTTCTCCCTTCCAGCAATAAAAGCTGGCATCTGAGAACTTTCACAACCTTGACTGATGCTGTAAACCCAGGTTCCAGAACAGCAGGTTTTACCACAGCATGAGCTGCAAAGAAATGCGGCTATTTTTATGAACTAATCCGACTCTGGGAGACCAACCAAACCCAGAGTGAGAAGAGCTCAGGCCTACCCTGAGTGCTGGGTAGGGACCATTTTAGGCAAAATGCTTAGTAGATATTCAGTCTCAGTGCACCTCTCATTTCCTAGAGACCCCCCTTTTATTATTAACAATACCCTATACCCTTTTTGTTTTGAGACAAGGTCTCATGTACCTGAGGCTGGCCTCAAACTCACTATGAAGCTGAGGAGGATCTTAACTTCAGATCCTCCTGCTTCTACCTCCCAAGTGCTAGGATCAGAGGAGCAGGCCACCACATCCTGCTACCTCTAGGGTCCTCTTCTGATCTCTAAGGCATCCCAGTATTTCAGTCTACCTTCCTGTGGTCCTAATCCCTGTATTTAAAGGCTCCATCCTGACCACCCCACAATACTTAAAGCTTCAAAATTACTGCTTACTCAGTTTACATCCACAGATGACCTCAGCTGCTAATTCAGAAGATGCCTAATTATTTTACTTAGACTGTTGGAGGCTCTTAGAGGATATTCACATTATGTATGAGTCCCCAGTACTGAGCATGTATGTGTGTATATATGTATCTACAAAAGACATGATCTCACATAGCCCAGGTTGGTCTCAAACTCCTGATTCTCCAGTCTCTACCTCCTAAGTGCTGGGATTACAGGCATGCACCACCATGCCCAGCTTGCTACTTAACACATTCTAAAAGGCAATGCTTACAAATGGGGGTAAAAAAGCCAGGCAGATCTCTGAGAGTTCAAGGCCAGCTTGGTCTCCATGGGGAATCCAGCCCAGCTATAGCTACAGGGAGACCCTGTCTCAAAAATACAAAACAAAAACAAAACCAAATGGGAAAAGACTTCATGCTGAAAAAGCCAGAGTGGAGAATCTTCTTAAACTACAGAATCTGCATCTGGCTTTGTGCTTCGTTCTCTCACAAGGGCCATGCATGACTTTTCTTTAACTGAACTTTCTACCACATTCAGTCTTCAGAATGGCTGTCACTTTCCGGGGGGGGGGGGGGCTGTCCTGGCTCCTCTTGTCATAAGCCTTCACAGCACACCTCTTATTCTTCTGAAGTGCCAATCACATAGGCAATTTTTTTGTTTGGTGTCCATTTCTTTGTCCAGCAGACGACACACTCTTGAGAGAGGACAATGTCTGCTTTGATCACTCACTACTGCCTCTTTGGTACCTTAAATGGCCAACACTCAGGAAAATTTGTTAAGGGGTGAGGGTGAGGAACTAGGATTCCTCTTCTTGGTCTACTGCAGATTTCTACCTTAGTGGCTCCTGGAAATAGACGGGGGAATTAAATAGTTGGACCTTCCAAGCTTAATGACTAAAAACTGCTGAATTTCCAGCATACCCAACACCCTATTTTCATCTCTGGTCTTGTCTAAAATCTGAAGCAGCAACACAGCCCAAGGTCAAGTGGGGCAGTTTTTCAACAAAGGGGCTGAGACAACTCAACAGAGCAAGGAAGGGGCTTCCCTAGATGCTGGGACAACTGGATTCTCATATGCAAAAGAACAAAAATGGTCTTATCCTTTGACACAAAAAGGCACTTGACATGGATCAGAAGGATAAGAGGCTGTAGGAGTCAACGTTGGTGAACTTGGGTTACTCAGTCCTTTTAGACATAAGGACAAAAGCAAAAAAAGTGACAAAAACAAACAAATGGAGCTGGGTATGCCCAGCACTTGGGAGGCAGAAGCAGGTGGGATTAAGGCCAACCTGGTCTACACAGCAAGTTCTAGGCCAGCTTGGCTAGAGAGACCCTGTTTCAAAAAACCCAAATAACAACAAAAAAAAACCCCAAACAAAACCAAGTGGGCTTCATTAAAATGAAAGGCTCCTATGCTTCAATAGGAACTATAAAAATATGTAATGTTACCAGGCGTAGTGGCACACGCCTTTAATCCCAGCACTAGGGAGGCAGAGGCAGGTGGATCTCTGTGAGTTCAAGGCCAGCCTGGTCTACATAGTGAGTTCCAGGACAGCTGGGGCTACAGGGAGACCCTGTCTCAAAATGACCAAAAAAAAAAAAAAAAAAAAAGTAATGTCAGCATTCAGCAGGCTAAGGCAAGTAGATCCAAAGTTCAAGGCCATCCATCCTCAGCTATACAGGTCAGCCTGGATTACATCAGACCTTACCATAAAAAAGAGGGGGGGGGGCAGGACCAGAAAGATGACTCAGCAGTTAAAGAGCACTTGTTGCTCTTTCAGAGGATCTAAGTTTGGTTCTCTGCATCCACATCAGGTGGTTCACAAGTGCCTGTAACTCTAGGGGATCCAATACTCTCTTCTGGCCTTGGTGAGCACTGCACTCACATGAACATACCTACACAAAGACATACATATATACACATAATTAAAATTAAATAAAATCACAGGGCTGGAGAGATGGCTCACCAGTTAACAGCACTGGCTGCTCTTGCAGAGGACCTGAGTTCAGCTCCCAATATGTTCATAGTGGCTAACAACCGGATGTAACTCCAGTTCCAGGGGATCTGTTGTCCTTTTCTGGCCTCTGAGAACACTGCATGCACATGGTGCATTTACATAAATGCAGGAAAAATGCACATACACATTTAAAAATAAACCTTTTTTAAAAAAAAGTCAGAAAAGACAACAAAATTGGAGAAGTAACTCTAAGTCACGTATTTCTCTAATAAGAAACTTTACCCCATGTAAGAAGAATTCATAACTCCACAATAAGAAGCTAAATAATTCAACTGAAAAAAGGGCAAAGGATGTGAAGAGACATTTTTTTTTTTTTTCAAATAAGATACACAAATGACTATGAACTACAAAGATTCTCAGCATCATTAGCCATCAGAGGAATGGCTATCAAAAGTATGATGAGTGCTAGAACTCCATGGGCATGGGGCTATAATGAAAACAACAGATACCAATGACTGGATAAACAGTGTCACAGCCATAAAACGTTATTTAGTCACAAAAAGGAAGAGTGCCTAGCATGCTACAATCTGGATGAACCCTGCAAACATTATGCTAAATAACAGAAGCATGTCACAGAGGACGACATATTGATTGTTCCATTCACACAAAATGTCAAGACTGTCAATCTATAGAGACAAAAAGTAGACTGGTAGTAGCCTATGGCTGGAGGTGGGGGACAGTTCAGGGGAAAACAGGATATAGGCTTTCTTCGTGGGGTGATAAAATGTTCTAGAATTTGGTGTTGGATATACAACCTTATGATTGTACTAAAAACTTCTGAACTGCATAATTTAAATGGATTAATTAGTATAGTATATAAATACACATCAGTAAAGCTGTTACAATTATTTTTCGCTGAGCCATCTCTCCAGCCACTACATCTTTAAAAAGTGTGATTAAAGGGGCTGGAGAGATGGCTCAGGGGGTTAAGAGCATTGAGCACTGACTACTCTTACAGAGGACCTGGATTCAATTCCCAGTACCCACACGGCAGCTAACAACCATCTGTTAACTTCAGTTCCAGGGAAATCTGATGCCTTCTTCTGACCTCCTCGGCCATTGCACAACACAGATGCATTTACACACATGCAGGTAATACACTCATACACATAAAATTTAAAAAATATATATATTTTTAAAAAAAATGTGGTAAGGGGCTGGAGAGATGGCTCAACGGTTAAGAACACTAGTTAGTTGTTCTTGCAGAAGACCTGGGTTCGAATCCCAGCACCCACATGGCAGCTAGCAACTGTCCATAACTCCAGTCCCAGGGGGTCCGACAGCCTCTTCTGGCCTCCAGGGGCATTGCACGACACAGGTGCCCTTACCTACATGCAGGCAATACATGCATACACATAAAATAAAAATAATAAATAAAATATAAAAAAAAAAGTGTGATTAAAAAAATTGCTGAATTTTTCTGCAAACCTCATATATTTAACTAATCTCACACTTATTTTCTCAAAGCATAAAGGACAGTCACAAAGATTTCTGACTCTTGGAACATTCTAAGTCCCAGTTCATTCGGTGCCCTGTGTACCTGTTAAACTGCCAAGGGACTGGTGCAGGAAATCCACTTGTGGTGAATCATGGGCCCTTGGCTTCTTGCAATGGATCATTTCACTTCTACGCAGCTATGGATTTTACTTTCCATAAGTTATCCTTAAAGCTTGAGGCAGTAGCACAAAGTTACACTCCTTCTTTCCTGCTGTGAGCTTCACTTCTTAGTGTTGTTTGAAACTCACTAGTTAAGGTTCTCAGGTTAAGAAAAGTACCAGGATGGCCAAATGCTGAATGTCAGATGTTGTGTTTTGAAGCTCTTGATGTCCTCTCCCTCTCTCCTAGGTCAGCTCTTCAGTTCTAGGACTGGGAACTAACTCCCTTACCCCTACTCTTCTGAACCAGGAACCACAGGTAGGAAGGGCTAAAGGGGCTGCCTGGAGCTTGGACTCCATTTCTTCATTCTGGGGTGCACAGTGGGCACCCACTCACTGCTTTCCTTCCCCTCATCATTCAGGGGGCTTCACTTGGTTGAACTCTGGGAAAGTTCCCCTGGCACTTCAGGGCAGGACAGCACAGAAGAGTCTGGATGGCAAAGAAAGGCTAAAAACTTCTCAAGTGAAAATTGTTGTCTATTGGGAATTGAGAGCAGGCTTCAACAGATACAGCCTCAGATAAATGAACAACTGGATTAGAAAAATAGTACGAAACTGAAGTCAGTTTTATTTTTAAGGTGCCTGAGATAAAATAAAACAACAACAAAAAAAACCCAAAAATCCAACAATAGTCTGAAGATAACATACCCTGAGTGTCAGGATGCTCGAGGGGCAGGGAGGATGGGGCTGCCAAAAGTAGGTAGAAGATCAATGTTTTCTAGCTTCAGAAAGTTAAGAGAGCCCAGACCATAGTTAGAGTGGCTTAATTACTGGTTACAGGTTCCTTACAAAGCTGTTAACCTGCACGAAAGAGAAGAAAACATTAAATTTCACATTTTCAATAGTTCACCCTCAATTCCTGTGTATCCAGTCCCATGAGTGTTTATGAGGGAAACAGGCCTGGAGAAGAAGAAAAGTGAGCTCCCAGGGTCAGATAGCACCGTGTGGCAGAGCTGGGAACACAATCTACTTTCCCTTGCTGTACAACACCTTAGAGGAGGAAGTCGGCTGGCCAGCATATGCTACAAGTCAATTAACTGCTAACCCAGATTCTCTGTACTGTGGGCATTTTATTTGTAACTTGTGTAAAATCTTATGTGCTCTAGAATGTGAAATGTGCTAGAGTACAAAGCCAAATACCCAATACAGAGCGCTCTGAAGCAGAAACTAAGACTCAGGTACAGCAACTGAAGCACCAGGAGAGCCAAACTCTTGTCCACCTTTCTCATGAGCTCCTCTTGTTTGGTGTCTTCTTCAGAGAAATCACCATTGACATCCAGCACCAGCACAGGTGTGTGCTGCAGAGTCTCGCAGTGGAGCCTGTAGGCAAGAATGAAACTTGAGCCCAGTGTCACCCCCTAGATCTCAATTCATGTGGCTTCTGACAGCACTGCCTGCAAATAACATTTAAAAAAAAGAATTCAAGCCGAGTGCCCAGAACTCGGATGCAGAGGCAGGCGGATCTCTGTGAGTTCAAGGCCAGCCTGGTCTATGTAGTGAGTTTCAGGACAGCTGGGGCTACAGGGAGACCCTGTCTCAAAAAGACCAAAAAAAAAAAAAAAAAAAAATCGGAAGTCTGAGAATTTTCTCTAGTCTTGAGACTGATACTGAGGTTAACACTCCAAATATTTTAAGTGAGTAACACCGAGCCTGAAGGAAGGAAGGTGGAAACCAGGAATGTCAATTAAAGTGGACATTTTTCTAAAACATTTTAGCCTTTCATTCTGAAGCAACTATGACCAGCATCAATCATGAGGTTCAACCTAGGGAAAAGAAAGGAAAGGAAGGAGGGAGGGAGCGAGTGAGAGCAGACAGAATCTAACAAGAGCCCCTTAGGATGAGTGGATTTTATTCACTATGATGTTTCTGGTTGGTAGATGCTGGGCATTTCCATCTACTTCCTTGGCAATGTTTAGCTCAGCATGGCTGTAAGAAGCAGGCCTGTCTTGCTCTTCTGTACTTACTTGGTTGTCTTGTGAATAAACCAGTCTTCGTGCTGACCATGTAGCTGTTGCAGATAGGCCAGCTCAATGCCTTTCTCTTCCTCTCTGGCTCTCTGGTACAGTCTCTTCAAACAAATCTAAAAGATACCACCTTGCTGTTACACTGCAATCCTACAGGTCCATGGGAGCCACAGTCTGTATGCTACCTCAGGTACAAGTTGTGACCTTGTACCTTGTTCTCTTATTCACGGGTACCATTTTCTCCATCTCGACCTCAGACTGTTCTTCTCTTGAGTATCCTGAGTCATTAGTGGCAAATACCATCCACCCAGACAGCTGAGCTGGGATTACCCTCTTTCTCTTCCACCCAACCACATCAAGGAGTCAGGAAACTCTCTTTGCTCTCTCCAGCTGCCTCTGTCCTTGCTTCTCTCACCTCTGCCTTGGCGCTCATGGCCTCTCATACAGACTACTGCAAAGTCCTCTGCCCCTTTGCCTCCTGGAGGTGAAGAAGTAACAAGAAGAGAGCACAGGCCTTGGAGGGAGAAGGTGCAGGAGTCAATCAGCCAGTGTCATGTGCTTGCCCTGTAATCTCAGTGGGCTGCCTGTTCCTGGTCCTCATCTACCCATAGGTAGCTCTGTGAGGATGCTCTGTGGTGAGGCACACCAGGTTAGATACTGGCAAGAGCTATTCTCTACTTCCAGCTTGTCCCTCACTCCAGAATTCTTTGGCACGCCAATTAATGGCATCTGTGTCCCTGTTTAAAATACTTTACTTCACCAGGCGTGGTGGTGCATGCCTTTAGTCCCAGTACTCCAGCACTTGGGAGGCAGAGGCAAAGGCAGGCAGATCTCTGAGTTCAAGGCCAGCATGGTCTACATAGTGAGTTCCAGGCCAGCTAGAGCTACAGGGAGACCCTGCCTCAAAAAGTCCAAACAAAACAACACTTTACTTCATAGGTTCTTTACTGGCTACAGTTGTGACCAAAGGCTTTAAGGAAGTATGATCTTCCTAAAAGTTCTCCCTTTCAGCCTCTCAGGTACTAGGATTAGAGGCATATTCCACATGCCTGAGGTGCCATTCTACTTATGAAATGGTAAGTAATCTGAAATACCTCTTTCATATTATACAAGCACTCACTCAGAGTAGATTACATTTGCATAGTCAAAGGTAAAACAAGTTAAAACTAAACAAAACGTGCATCTTGACACTAGCTCCCTTCCCCCTGCTCCTCTGCAGAACTCTAGTCTGCTTCCATCTGCAGGTCTGAAGTTCTATGGCTCTGCAAACTGTCTCTTTCTTCACCGGCTCTGCAAACTGTCTCTTTCTTCACCGGGCACACAAGGCCACCTCTCCTGCTTGTCTTCAACTTCCTTAGCTCTTTGCTTGCTCACTGCTTCAGCCATATTTGACCTCTTTCCTGTGAGACAAGTCCAAGCTCCTTCACACCTCAAAACCTCTGCTCCAAATGTTTGTTTTGCCTGAACTACCCTTGGTCCTCTTTCTGCCTGGCCAAACGTTTCATTATTCAATGTCACCTGCCCTAGAGATGGATCAACCCACTGACTTAGGATTTTCCCTCTTGTCTTACTTCTCCCTTAAGGAAATTAAGCCACGTATCTTTTTAAATTTATTTATTATTTTTATTTTATGTGTATGAGTTTTATGCCTGTATGTAGGTAAGTGCACCTGTGTCGTGCAATGCCCACAGAGGACAGAGGAGGCCATCAGATCCCCTGGAACTGGAGTTATGGACAACTGTTAACTGCAATATGGGTGCTTTTTAAAGACCCCTTTTCTTTCTTTTTTGCAAGTCTTGTTCGTTCAGGTAGACCTGGAATGCTACAGCCCAGTTTTTTCAGTCTACTCCTGACTTTAGCTACCCAGTTCTCCTCATTCATAACCAATGTGATTAGTAACTAGACTTTCAGCAACAGCTTATGTAGATATACATTCTTTACCCATCTTTTGAAAATGTATGTAAAAGATGTCCCATTCTACACTCTGCACTTGTTTTTTGATTTACTTAATAGTATGTCTTAGATAGCTGGGTATGGTTCATGCCTGAAAATCCAGCACTGAAAAGCTGAGATAGGAGGAATGCTGCTAGTTTGAGTCTACCCTGGGCTACACTGTGAGTTCCAGGTCAGGTTGGGCTACAGAATGAGCCTTGTCACAAAACAGCAGTAGCAACCAAAAGCAAACGAAAACCAACTGGTACAGAAAGAAGTTTCTCATTCTTTTTATAGTTTCAGCTGTTTGATTGGAACATAGAATACATTCAACAAGTCGCCTCTGATGAGCACTAGGGCTATCTCCACTACTTGGCTACTACAAAGACTGCTGTGTATACCAGTGCAGTCTGCCTGTGTGCATGCATATCTGTGGACTCAACTCCAAGTATCAGGATTAATAGCAAAGGTGTGAGCTCTTCTTAGTACCCACCTCCTCAGAAGTAACCAGCTCACATTCTGACAAGCAGGCAGCTTTAGAATTTCTAAATGCAGCAAAACTAATTAACTGTCCTCTCTGAGAGAATTGGAGTCAACGAATAGTTAAAAAAAAAAAAACATATAACCATGTTTTCAAGTACATACAAGGACAGAACAATTCTTACAAAAGATATTTCTAATTATTCATGCATTGAATGCAGATAAACACTGATGCCATCCTGGACTATTAAAATCAGCTAACATTTCCCCCTTTTATTATTAATTTTCTAAATATAGTAAACTTTTCTTCTCCCTAAAGTCTACGTAGTCTTATTTTGAGCATCTGGCATAATTCTTCCTTTACTGACATGGTTATTAATGAATTCTTCTAAAATAAAAGACCCAGTGGAACAGTCTTGCCTGGCCCCACTTTGTTTCAGTCCTACAGGGAAGACACCTGGGTGAGAAGTGAAGATGGTGTCAGTGAAAGTGGCAAGGCAGGGACCCCTGGTCCTGAGCCTGATGGGCTGACTTCTGGGGTCTGCATATTGCCGTTCAAGCCTCAAGCCCAGGGTGGCACTTGTTACCATGCAGCCCCAGGCACAGCTGGGCTCCCCGAGGCACACAACAACTATACTCTGTTCTTCTGAGGGGTGGGGGAACAAAGGTCTAGTTACTTCTCTTCTGATTTTTTTCCTAAATTGCCAGCTTTTGGCTTTCTGGAATTTAGGGGACAACAGGTAGGCAAGAGCTGAAGGCCCTGCTGAGGTCTATCTCACATGCTTTGATGCCAGTATTTCCCAGGACTCTGTGATGGAGTACTGGGTACTGGCACCCCCTTTTAAAGAGATATATCAACATCTGTCTTGTTCTTCCTTTGAATGTAGTGTATCTCTGAATCCCACAGAAGAGGCCAAAGAACAATATGGGCATTCCTAGGTTCCTGTAACTAATCCACTGAAACAACACTAAAATTTTGATTTAAATTCAAAATACATGCTTTTTTGTTTTTTCTCCCATTAAGCTGTAGTAATTATTCAAGTCTCCTCATTCTATGTGAGACAAAATACTTCAATTTGCCTCTCCAAAAGGAAAAGCCAGCCTACTGATAATCGCCATAATCACCTTCACACAGGTCCCTCAAGCGCATTAAGAAGGGAGGTGAGGAGACCTGCCGGCTTTCTTTACGGGTCCCAGGGTCTGCATTCAACCTTCACAGACCAGAAACAAGAAGGCAGGCAGCCCTGTTTTACTCCAAGGACTGGGTCAGCCCACGGCTCCTCTGATCCTCCCAGCAGTGTTGTCATGGCACTGAGCTGCCAGTGCTGCTGTTCTGTCTCTCTTCACCTTCAACCTTCTTTCAGCCCAGCTTTCTCAAGACTATGGGAAATCTGTTATCTCCTCTAACTCTACCTATATCTCCAGTCTGTTCAACTTCTCACCTGACCCCTGGAGAACCTCTCTGTGTCCCTGGCCTCAACCACTTCATACTGTCCTCTTCGGAATGGACTCCTCTTTCCCCGCTTTCTCAATCTATTCTCTACTTTTAAAGCTACTTACCATCATAATTTGACTCTTCTAAGTTTTCTCCAAAGCAATGAAGCCTACTGAAGCAGTCATGAAAATGTGACCCAGGTAGTCAACAACTTGATTTCAGCCTGGGTCTCTGCACAGAAGGTTCTTCTCAGTCCTCAGGCCTCACTGAACCTCTAGTTCAATTTTATTCTAAACCTGAGGCACCATTTAGAATCTCTTACTCCCACAATCTAGCTTCTGTGTCACAATCTAGAAACTCCAGTTTCCAAGATGCCTTAATGTGACTAGTGAGATAGCTCAGTGGGTAAAGATGCCTGCTATGTAAGCCTGGTGACCTGGGTTTGATCCCTGGAATCCATGTAAAGGTAGAAGGAAGAGAACTGATTCCATAAAGTTATCCTCTGAGCTTCATACACACTGTGGCATGTGTATTCCTGTGTACTGAGCTTCATATACACTGTGGCATGTGTATACCTGTGTGTGCGCGCACGCGCGCACACACACACACACACACATCAAAGACACATAACAACAACAACAGCAACAACTGTCCCTTCCTGAGGTGAGGTCCTTCCTTCCAGTTCTCTCCTGGGGCCTGTGCAAGGTGAGGTGACAAGAACTGTCCCACTTGTTCTCTAACTTTGCTCAGTCTGCCCTCAGGCTCCCTTCTGTCCAAGAGCTCAGCTCCACCTCTGAAAACCATGGGCTCCAGACTGAGGACAGCTGGCCTGCTTTCTGCAACGATAGGTATTCCTGGCATCTGACTGTACCTGTAAAGTATTGCTCAAAAGCTGACAGCAGTGTATCTCTGAAAAGGTTTGCTTTGACTTTGAATCCTGCCCCACAGTCTTTGGAGAGATCTACTTTCAGACAAAGCCTCCTTCAGTAGAAAGTTTGCCAAGTGCTAGCCAAGGTCACTGTCAGTCATCAGAAGCCAAGGGCCAAAGCTGTCTCCAGAGGACTCCTGTCATGACATCATCCTATGTGCCAAGTTGGAGAGCCAGAACACGTACTTCTGCAATCTAGCCGGACTTATTGGGGGCCTCTTCAAGGTCTAAAAAGGGGCTATGAGTTGGTAATACCAGGAGGAGGTTAGGAAACCCTTCCATGCTTCCCTACATCCTAGTCAGAAAACAAAGGTGACCACTGCTGCCTCAGATGACCTGACAGGGGAAGGAATCACTGAGGCGGGAAGCTGCAATTCTAAGTGTCTGATGCGCAAACCTGGAGCTGTAGAAACAATGCCCAATTTGTTCTGGCTTGTTGCTCCAACACGAGGGCCCCTTGAATGCAGAGTCAACTGCATGTGCATACTGCTGCCTGCGCGAAATTGGTGCTCAATGCTAGAGCAGCAGTGTCCACCCACCACTATCTGCTAGGTGATACTCACAGCCTAACTTCTCCAACCAGAAAACCTCTTAGGTTTCATGCAGCTCTAACATCTAAGGCTTTATGTTCAGAGTTACCTGGGGAGAAGCCTGGAGGTAGATGAAGCCATGTAATGAAAGCCGGCTGGCAAACGCCTGCAGGAAAAAAGAGTGCCAGTCCTGATAGATGTGCCACTCGATGTCACTGAGGGAACCATTTTCAAAGAGATTCTTTGCAAAGATATACCTGGTTGAAAATGTTGAGTGGGTGGGTGGGGTGGATTAAGAATGGGAATGGGATGAAAGTCAGAGGAGAGAGAGAAGCAGAAAAATCAATAGCCAACTTATTCAATGTCCATCCAAACCTTGTAACCCTTCTGCCTCCTCATCAGCCCTTAGGTAATTTGAATTCTTTTTAAAAAATATTTATTATTTTAATTTTATGTGTATGAGTGTGTTGCCTGCATGTATGTGAGTGCACCTGTGTCATGCAATGCCATGGAGGTCAGAAGAGGGCTTTGGATTCCCCTGGAACTGGAGTTAAAGGATGGTTCGTAGCCACCATGTGGGTGCTGGGAATTGAACCCAGGTCTCTGCAAGATCAGTCAGTGATCTTAACCGCTGAGCCATCTCTCCAGCCCCAATTTGAATTCTTTTTAAGGTTTATTTTTATTATGTTTGTGTGTGTGTGTGTGTGTGTGTGTGTGTGTGTGTGTGTAGGTTTGTATATATGCGTGCTGGTGCCTACAGAGGTGGGCGCTATATCCCCTGGAGCTAGTTATAATCACTTTATGAACCATCTAATGTGGGTGCTGTGAATGGAACTCGGGTCCTCTACAAAAACAGCAAGCAGTCTTAAGCACTGAACCCCAGAAATTTGAATTCTTAGTCTATAGCTCCTGTACTGCTCAGCACTGTGATGACAAAGAGCACCTGGACACAGAGGCCCACACTTTAGTTCCCAAATGGAGTAACTCACTGCAAGGAAAGAACTGTAGAAGAGGAAGCCCGTCAGAACACACAGCAGTTGTGTGTGTGGAAACCTGAACTTTGGAGACTATAACAAGGCTCCAAACACACCCAAGTGAATGCAGGCTATATCCACCCTCTGCGTATCATTCAGGACTAAGGGTTTCTGAGTGTCCAGAAGCTGAGCCATCTTGTCTAGTTGAGAAGTGGAGGGAGTCTTCTTTCTGTGGTGTCAGCTATGGAGCAGGAAATCCGTTTCTGACTGACTTCAGTATTACCAACAAAGCAGTCTCTCCTCCAGAGCACATAGGAGTCTTACTTTCTCTGCTGAGTTTCTAAGTCAGATAAAATACTGAGAAAGCTGAAAAATCTAACTTCCCTCTGCTTACTTCCATAACAAAAGGAGGATCTGGTAAATTAGGAAATCAGAGCTGAACAGAAACTGTGGCTTCAGAAGAGTCAATTTTGCTTTCAAGGCTTAGGCATCTGATACAAAACACAATGTACATCCTCAACAATGAACTCTAGTTTCTAAGGCAATGCTCAGCAACTGGCCACTTCTGGGAAAATGAAATTCAGAATCCTGTGTGTGAATAACTTAGGGAAGCACAAACTGTAAGGATGTGTCACCCTTAGAGAGGAGCATTCAGAGTAACTGAGGATCTGATTCCAGCTGCAGCTTTCATAAACCACTAACTCTCCGCCCACTGCTGTGATGACTCGTTTCTCACTCATGAAGTGCTCAGAAGGGTGACTGCCACATGGTATTCAACACATCTCAGTTATGACTGCATTTCCTGGGCTACAAAGAAGTTAATATTCAAACTCTAAAAGCAAACTTGTCTAGTCTAGAATGTTTTAGATACAGGTTAGCTAAAGGGAACAAGAAGGTGACTTTTGTGACTCAAGTTCTGGAAACTGCTGCCAGTTTCTCCATAGACAACTAGAAGATGAAAGGCTGGATCTTACAAATACAAGTTAATAACCGGCCAGGAGTGGGGCACATGCCTTTAATTCTAGCACTTGGAAAGCAAAGGCAGAAGCAGGTGGATCTCTCTGAGTTCAAGGCTAACCAGCTAACCTGGTCTACATCCAAATGGCAAGTTCCAGGCCAGCTGGGGCTACATAGTGAGATGCTATCTAAAACAAACAAAAAAAACCCAGAAAGAAACTTAACAACCCTACAGAAGGACCTTTGCCCCTCTCCTGTGGGTAAGTACTTCCCTTATTTCTCCAAAGCTGGTGGTGATGGGCAGGAAGAGGGGCAAAATGGGAGGGGGCTGAACATGGAGTGGAGTGGGGATGGGGTAGGGGAGTGTAAGAGTTGCAGATGGAACAGGGTTGAGGACCTAGCAGTTCAGAGCTCTGTTTTAAAACCACACTAGTATTTCCTTTAACTCAATCAGAAAAGTGTTGGATATCTTCTCTGCAATCCACTTCCTTTCAGAACACCTATCACAAGAATGGGAGAGTTTGAATACTCTTAAGATTAGAATTTATAACAGGCTATCCTTTTGGACTCAAAATGCCCTCTTAGGTTAAATCATCTACAATATTGTAACTGCTCACAGTATAATACTCCCTATTCCTTTACAAGGAAATGTCAAATTCTGGATAGCTCCTTAACAAAGCACTTCTGCCAGGCATGGTGGCACATGCCTGTAATCCTAGCACTCGGGAGGATCACTCATGAGTTTGACGCCAGCCTGGTCTACACAGTAAGTTCTGGGCAAGTCAGGGCTATAAGGCCATCCTGTTTCAAAAACAAGCAATGAAATCAAAGCATCTGTAACCAATAAGCACTTCACTGTTAATTTTCCTTTGAGAAGTCTCTCACGTGTCTAACCATAAAAGAGGCTAGAACTCAAAAAGATCAACTGGGAATACTTCCGAACAGCCCAGGTAGTTTTATGTAGGTTCAACTTCCCAGCCTGAGAAACATGGCTTGGGAAAGGAAGACAGGCAGTGGCACACCTACAGTGGAAAATGAACTAAAACCCAAAGCCCAGCTACCTCAAGAGCAGACTCTTCTTCGGGCCTGAAAGGAAGGAGGAATGTATGGCCTGCAGTGCTTCTTCCATGTTTTTAATGGGATTCTGAGGTGGATCTGAACAATCACATGTCATTTACAAATGAACCTTTACTTTTTTTTGGTCTTTTTGAGGCAGGGTCTCCCTGTAGCACCAGCTATCCAGGAACTCACTATGTAGACCAGGCTGGCCTTGAACTTACAGAGACCCACCTGCCTCTGCCTCCCGAGTGCTAGGATTAAGGGCATGCACCACCACGCCTGGCATGAACCTTTATTTTTAAATTCTAGGAGGCTTCATGGGAGTAGTAAGAGCTAGAACTAGTTTACTTAATTTGGGATTAAATGGGTAACTAAGTGTCTCCAGCGGTGGGGACAATGAAAATGCAGTATTTTCAATACTGATAAATCAGTTGATCTCAAGACATTATTTTACTTGAAAGCACTATTTCTTCCACAAAAGTCATTTGCAGCCTTCAAATTCAAAGCAGCATCTAGATCAAGCCACACTGTGCCCTTCCTGTAGATGGCCTAATCCCATAGCATGGTCTCTGTAGCGGCCCATAATCCAGGGCCTGCATGAACTAGCTTTCCTGGAACAGATGGACTCATTTCCCAGACCAGCTGCTAGACCTCACTGAAAGGACTTCACAGCGTGCTCCTTTAGGTGGATGATGGCCTTTCCCATGAAGTCACATGGGTACAAGGTAGGCAGACACTGGCCAGCAGTAAGCTCTGTTACGTAAGATGATCAGAAAAGGCTGAATTGAAGATAGAAGTCAATTTCAAATGTGTTGTTTCTGTCTCAATATCCTTTCTTGAAGAATAAAAAAGGATGAATAGATTACTTGCACTGTTTTAAGAACACAAATTTTGCACTGGAGAGATGGCTCAGTGGTTAAGAACACTGGTTGTTCTTGCAGAAGACCTGGGTTTGAATCCCAGAACCCACATGGCTATTCTGTGTCTTCCACTTTCTACCATGTAATAATTACAGCAAGCAGTAACCACCTTGCCTCTCTACTGGAAAATAAAGAAGGAGAGGATAGTCAGTGGCACTGTGGGAAACTGTAGTCAAAGTAGGAAAATCAGAATCTCCTTTCTTGACACATATGATAATTCAGTAGAGTTATAACTTTGGACACATTTGTGTAGAGTTGTCTTTAAAGAGTATACAGACTTTCAGGGTTGGGGAAGTTTATTGGTAAAGTCCTTAGTTTGCAAGTACAAGGACCTGAATTCAATACCCAAAATCACATTAAAAAACCAGGTTTGTAATCCCAACACTTGGAAGGAAGAGAAAGGTGGATCCCTGCGGCTCACTGGCCACTGGCCTAGCCTATTTGGTCGGTTCCATACTAGTGAGAGACACTATTTTAAAAAAAAAGTTGTTATGGTACCTAAGGAATGACAATCAAGGTTGTCCTCTGGCCACCACATGCATGTGCATACATGTGCATATGTATATATACATATACACAAAAAAGACACTTTGTTTTGTTTTTGAGACAGGGTGTTGCTGTATAGCCCTTGTTGGCCTGGAACTCACCATATAGACTAGGCTGGCTTTGAACTCAGAGAGATCTACCTGCCTCTGCTTCCCGAGTGCAGGTATTAAAGGCGAGCACCACCACAGCTGGCACAACAAGTTTTCAGAGTAGAGTTTTCAATGACTAGTGAACCTAGTGCAGGGCCTATACAAGGAAAGATTATGCCAAAATGAGCATGGGGTGTGTGTTTGACAGGGTGTTTGGTGTCTTACCTGTCACTATATACAGACCTCTCAAGGATCTGTACAGGCTTCTCTGCCTGTAAGAGTCTCTCAGGGAAGGGCTCCAGCTGTACTTTCAGGCGGCTCAGAAAGGAAAATGTCTGGAACGTGTAGGACCATCTCGCTGGTTCCCGGTACATCATGTCCAGCAAATTTCCAAGACTCTGGGTAGTGTCAGCCTACAGCAAACATAAAAACGGAGAATTTCCAAGGAGTATTATTCATATACACCTCACCCTTTGCCCCCCCGCCCCCCCGCCGGAAGTTCAATACCTAATGAGAAATAATCACAGACATTTCCTTCCACTAAAAGAACATAGTGAGATCCTCCAGTGCAGTTGAAACTATGTAATTAGAGAGGAGACTGCCCTACCTTGTGTGACAAGAATGTGACAGAGGGAGCTGACATGCCACATTCAATGTAACAGAGAAGAGCAGAGCAAAACTTGCATATAGAATTCACACATGCCCTGAATGTTGGACTTGGAGAGTCTGTCTAGAGTAAGATAACAACCAACAGTCACCTAAAATTCTACTTTGAATGAAATCCTTCTAACTTAAATATCAGATTCCATCTGTGGTTATTTCTTCCTGAAACTTCAAGGCAAGTAAGAAGACAATTGCTTTATTTGAGAATCTAAACCATCAATGGGTCATACAAATAGAATTCTGCATCTTTCATAGAGGGGTCATACTTTGTTCAGACAAACACTTATCCTTCTCTATTCCAAGCACTATACTACTAAATGCAATTTGAATACTTTCACTGATTCCGGATGTACAGGTATGAACACAGGATATATAGGAGCCCTGGATTATTTTCTGGTTCAATGCAAAAGTGAATTTTGAGCAAAGTGGATCTGCATTTACTCATGCAATCGCTGTTAAGAAAAAGTTTGTGTGGATGAGGCACTATAGGAGCAAGGTGCTATAAAGGATGTAAAAATAAGTAACATGCATTTCAACCTTCACCATGTTGCTATTTCATCTAATCTTCAGAGCAGCTTCATGAGATGGTAACTGAGAGGAAGGTCCACTCAGAGACTAATTTGTGTAAGGTCTCATAGGGAATTAAGTGAAGAATGGGGCTCAGACCATGCTTCCCTTAACCTCTTCATTTTAAAACCTCTCCTATAATGGTGAACAAGATGTGGTGACTGAACTCAAGGAGATCACAATATGAATAAAAGAGGATGGCTGATATATAAAGAGCTAGAATATAAAGCTGAACATGTGAGAAATGTTCAATCATGTATGGGGTAAAGAATTGAAAGAAGTTTCTGGCAAAAAATAACATTAAGCTAGGAAATAAATGATGAGTCAAATCTTCACAGATGGAAATGGGGATTAAGGAAACAGCATTTGGGCTGGGAGGAAATTGACTACCATGTAAGAATGAGAAGAATGAGGGGCTAGAGAGATGGCTCAGTGGTTAAGAGCACTGGCTGCAATTGCAGAGAACATGGGTTCAATTCCCGTCACCCACATGGCAGCTAACCATTCAACTCTAGTTCCAGGGGATCCAACACCTTCTTCTGTCCTCCGTGGGCATTGCACGACACAGGTGCACTTACCTACATGCAGGCAATACACGCATACACATAAATGCGTGTATTGCCTGCATGTA